ACGGACACTCCCTGTCCAATGATTTCAGCAGCATCACCTTTATTAATGATACCTTCTTTTAAAGTTCCAACAACAACTGTACCACGACTTGGAATTTTTACTGCTGTTTCAATGGGAAAAACAAATGGAGCTGACAAATTTCGTTCCGGTATTGGTACATACTCGTCAAGTGTATTGACTAACTTTAAAATAGATTCTTTCCCAAGCTTTTCATTAACTCCATTCAATGCACAAAGTGCAGATCCCCATACCACAGGAACTTCAGATCCATTATATCCATATTCATCCAATAGCATACGGACTTCAATTTCACAAAGCTCTGCCATTTCTTCATCTGCAGCATCAACTTTATTGATGTAAACCACTAAATGTTTAACTCCAATTTGTTTGGCTAGTAATACATGTTCTCGGGTTTGTGGCATAGTTCCTTCTGTTGCAGCTACAACAAGAATAGCACCATCCATCTGAGCTGTCCCTGTGATCATATTCTTTATGAAGTCTATATGGCCTGGGCAGTCTGTGTGGGCATATCGTCTTTTGTTTGACTCATAGGCAATATGTGCAGCATTTATGGTTATACCTCTTTTCTTCTCCTCTGGTGCTTTGTCGATTTCATCGAATTTTACAGCTTTGGTAGTTCCTATTTCTTCGGATAAGATTTTTGTCATTGCAGCTGTAAGAGTTGTTTTTCCGTGATCTACATGACCTATTGTTCCAACATTGCAAAACGGTTTTTCGAAGTTTATGAACGTATAAGAGAATTTTCTCACAGATTCCTTCAAATAAGCATTTCCGGTATTAGTTTCTAAATTTCTAAGCCTTGACACACATGCAAGCTTTAAACTGCCTTGAATATTGATAAGTTTGTGTATGTATCGAGCCATGCTGACCAGTGACCGCTGATACCTTCTGGTTTCCGGTGTAATGGTCTATAGATAAGTTGTACACAGAACTAAATAACTCATTTTCGTACGGAAGCGTATTAGGGCTGTACCAGTATCTTTTATTAATTTGTTATAACAAAATAGTTATTTGTTTTAAAAATAAATAATTTGTTTTATCTATCTAGATAATGTGTTTTAAAAACAAATTGATAATTTGTTAAAACAAATTAATAAAAGATACTGCTGAGCCTGACCCTATAATACGCTTCCGTAAAAAATAGTTATTTCTTACTGCCATTACTACAAGATTTTTTTTTTACCTTATATCTATCATTTTTATTTAATTGTGTTTTCTTTTATCATTCTATGGTTTTTATGCTTTTGATCCAGTGTGGTGATGCACTTCTCAATGTCAAACTTAATCACAAGTCATGTTACATTATCCTTAATATAGAATTGTAATCAATGTTATCATTTTGTAATAATTGTTCATGCCCCCTGTGGGCCCTTGATTGGTGAATAAACATAATAATAATATAATAGCAGATTGATAATTTATTAATAATTGTTAAAATCAAAACTTTAAGAGAAAAAGCATATTGAAAGAATTTCACAAAAAAATTCTATTTTTAGTAACCATGGCAACAATGTTCATCAAAAACAAGATCCAATTTACTAAATTATATTGTAGGCTAGTCTACTTGGGTGCCACATTATATTGAAATTAGACCAAAACTTTAGGAGAAGCATTTTGAAGGAATTTCCCAAAAATTCTATTTTCAGGCAGAAATTAGTTCGTATAAAATCCAGGGGGTTTTCCCCAGAGAGAAGCATGCTGGGTAGGGATTTTCCTGCTATTTATAGGAATCTAGATGAAAACTGCATCTTTTTTGTTTTTATTCGCATAAATTAGAGTCTTATCTTAATATTTAAAGAAAAAAATGTGCATTCATTTTTAGAAAAAAAAAATTGTGAGACTTTTTAATAGGGGGAGATAACTCCCAAAACATCCAGTTTTCACATGTGCAGAATTGCATGAGTCAATTAGCAGGTAATGTAGCTCTTTCAAGAGGTGGAAAATGTACCCTGAAAGCACACTAAAAGAAAACCTTAAGACTTGTTCTGTGAAATGCATGCAACTTATTTTGTCTGATTTTTTCTGTTTTTGTTGAGCAGGGGGGTTAAAAATGCATAGGTGCACTGAAAATGGATGCATAAACAACCCAATATCCCCCATATTTCTGGTGTCAAATACCCCCCAGTAGTAATTGATGAATGTATTATAGTTGAATATTTACAAAATTCACAATTTTATCTTTCCATTGATATGCAGAAGTCTATGTAACAAGCCTCCATTTTATTTTTTTATAGGGGTCAGTTTTGCTTGTCCCGCACCAAGTAACGTCCTGATAACGTCATACATAAAACTGTGTTTTGCACCCTATAGAAGAGTACTACTAGAAATTGATTTACCCTGCCAACGGATCTACGGATGAAATCACTCTCTGAACTGTCATCAAGATGGAACAAATATTTTAAGGAAAATTGACATTTAACATAATTTAAACTGAAACACAATGGGAATAAATTTTATTAAGTTTCGGTTCTAAGTCCCCTGTATATATATATGGCCTAAGGGATCGGGCGGCCAAATCCAACAAAACTGATATACCGGCTTCTTTTTTACGAATGGACATCTTTCATTCAAAATGTTAAAATGAACATCGAGACCTCTTCCAAAATTGTCATATTCCTTGCCCCAGGATCGGGCCACTGGTTATATGGATGACCAGGTCTGTTCATCATGACGTTGCGCACGGTGATATGGTACACTATGTATTATAAAAATTCCTTAATTTTATATCTCCTCCTATTTATTTAGCAAACAAACTAATTGAATAGCTTTGATGAGCAAGGGTGTCTCTTCCAACCCGTTCGAATTCGTGGTTACTGGAAGAGTGATTTGAACATTTGTTTACGGACAACTTGCATAAACCCATCAGTTCGATCAAATGAAATTGGCAAGTATAGCTGCAGAACTGTGGCGTTATGGTTTTTATGCCCCCGTAATCGAAGAATCGGGGGTAAATAGTTTTTGTCGTGTCTGTCGGTCCGTCCGTCTGTCTAGCTGTCTGTTTGTCCGCAAAAACTTTAACCTTGCCCATAACTTTTGATGTTGTGGAGATATGACTTTCATAATTCACATGTGTATTCCTTGTGACTAGACCTTTCTGTGGGTACCAAACTTGAATTTTTGACCTTGACCTTTGAGTTTCACCCGAAGTATGAAAACCTTAGCCCTTACCCTTCAAAAGGTATGGTCAAGGTTTGTTATAAAAAGTAGGTCAAACTCCAAGTTAAAAGATCAAAAGATCAAAGATGTTGGTATCCAAAGAATGGTCTTCTCACAAGGATTACATATATGAAGTATAAAAGCCCTAGTCCTTACCGTTCAAAAGTTATGGCTGAGGCTAAGTTTTTTAAATATACGAGTATAAATCTCCAAGGTCAAAGGTCAAAGTTGTTGGTATGCAATGAAAGGTCTTGTCATAAAGAATACCTTATGTAAAGTATGAAAGTCCTAGTATCTATCGTTTAAAAGTTACAGCCAAATTAAAAAAAAAGTTTGGAATTTTTGTGTAAAAGTGTTTCAAACTCAAAGGTCAAGGTCAAAAAGCCAAATTTAGTGGTACTCAAAGAAAGGTCTCGTCACAAGGAATACACATCTTTATGAAAAATGAAAGTAGTATCTCCACTAAATCAAAAGTTATGAGCAAGGTTAAAGTTTTTGCGGACAAACAGACAGACAGATATACAGACAGGCGGACGAAATTATGGGGGCATAAAAAAAACTCCTTTAGCTGTAATTCAGAAGAGGTTATTGCATTAAAGGTATTCTTTTTTTTATATTGGGATCGAAATGCTTCATACTTTTGTTTGATATCCTAAAACAAGCTTTGATTTTAACAGTGTACTGTCGGATATTTCAACATTTATTGAGCTGTGAGTTCACTTCTGTAACGATAATTTTACCGGAATTTTAACTTTTATTCAAATGAATTAATGCGAGACTATATGAATCATAATTTATACTGAACCGTCAGAAATAAAAAAAAAAATTGTCATATTCAGCTTTATTTGAAAAATAGTAAGACTGAATTGATCTAGCATTAACTTTCTTAACATTACCTTCAAATCAATGGAATATTGAAAATGTTGTAATAAGTTAACAATAGACCCACCAGATTTATTGACAAATCTGTTTTCATGTTCACTGATCAGTATATGACCTTTAGAGTATTATGATGTTAATATTGCTTTTTGAAACATTTTTCATGTTTTATACCCTGAAATGTTTCATTTTTCGTAGAACTACTGGTTAGAATTATAATATTAAAAAAAAACAAGATGTGTTTGTGAAACACTGATGCCCCCGTCTGGCAACATAGCGAATGTTAAATATCAAACATGTTAATTGATACCCAAACTGGCAAAGTAAGGCCTTCTCACTAAATTAAGAAGTTCTACAAAAATGAAATATAAAACCCTAGCACCATCTGTTCAAAAGTTATACCCAAAGTTCAAGTTTTTAGAAAGTAGGTCAAACTTCAAGCTCAGGGTCAAAGGGTCAAAGTTGTTGGTATCAAATGAAAAGTCTTGTCACAAGGGTTGTCAATTTGTGGAGTATGAAAGCCCTATAGCCTTTACCGTTCAAAAGTTATTGCCAAGGTTAACATTTTAAAAAGTAGGTCAATCTTCAAGGTCAAAAGGTCTAAGTTGTTGGTATCTATTGGAAGGTCTTGTCACAAGGATAACATCTGCAAAGTATGAAAATCCCAGCAAAACCATTTAAAAGTTATGGCCAAATTAGTAAATTTTGGAAAATTAGCAATATAGTCGGTATATATTCAAGTAAAAAATACAGAAGAAATCTATTTTTCGCAAATATGAATGAAGTATTCAGATTGTTCTTTACGATGTTTACGACGCTCATAACTATTAACAAATGGTAATTGTACACTTTGGGGTGAATTGTGGGGAAAAGGGGGGGGGGGCGCAAAGATTTTGTTTTATATACGAGTTACTCCCCTTGATCTTTCGACAAGTACCAACCAATGACAATCGTGCGTTTTAATATGGAGGACGTGAGGTGTTGCGAAAGTTGAAATGTATTGGTGAAGGTCTGGTTACATGCAGGTAAGCTGATGACAATGATTCATTGGGTTCTGAAACGTTGTTATGAATTCCACTTTCCAAGCTTAGCATGCTTGATAAGTATTTTATGTAACGTTAGACTAAGGACAATATTCATTCCATTCTTCAAGATGACTGTCATTGATAACGCTAACGGCTTAACCAGGTCCGGCACAATCTCCTGATTAAGCTATATAGCTTGATTTAGCTATACAGCTTTATTAAGCTATTCAGAATAGCTTGATTAAGCTATTTTCTCAGACTTTTACCTCCAATGTGTTATTTTTTCAACATGTGCAAAAAGTCGCACCTAGGTGCAGTGGAAATATTAAACTTTGTTCTCTTCTGAATACAATGCATGTAAAAATCACTCACCAAATTGCGTCTCCTTGAGAGACTTTGTACTCAAAATTTTAAAAGTTTTGGGGCTATTGATGAGTGACCACACAGTTATTTCTTGAATGAAATTATAAAGGAGGCCAGTTATGGCCAACAGGATAATTGATTAGTAACAGTTCAGCACAATGAGAAGCTATCATACTTACCCACGCCTCACCGCACACACAGTTACTCAAACAATGGAAATTCATATTTTGCTTAAAGTATTCAACAGCAGCAATGTAAGAACTTTCTATGATTTAGGTTGTATTTTTGATAGTCCATAGTACATATATGAATAGTCAAATACTTGCGACTTTTTGTTTATTTCTTTCAAACAACTTTTTTGTTAAAAACTGCATATAAATAGCTTTATCAAGCTATTTTGAATAGCTTAATAAAGCTATATAGCTTTTTAAAGCTATATAGCTTAATCAAGAGATTGTGCTGGACCTGTTAACAGATCATCATCCTGTAAAGTGCGCTATTTAAATTAGTTTTTTCATTCCAACCTAAGAATCGAATTTGTTTGGTGCACTTCTTTGGTTTTCGTAAGTATGTAAAACTTGTACACTTATGCTGTCAGTTACTTTCTCTTGAAGTTCAAGGGAATATTTTGGTTGCCATTGCATTTGTAATTTTATCACAAAAGGCTTAAAACGTGTGTTTCTATGCAGCGTGTAAAATGCTAACAAGAAAACTAATCAAATAGTAAATATTATATGTAAAATATCAATGATTCTAGTTGTAAGTTTTAGAATTTTCTTTGGAAAAGTATATATTTTTACAGCTGTTTTTATAAATACTGAGTGAGGATCTGTAATTTTTTTCTGAATATAAATGAGGCTGTCAATGTCATGGACCAGGCTGAACAGATTTATTTTACTGTGTGACCTTAGTAGCTTCAGATGATATAAAATTACACCTCAACACCCTTTTTCCCAATAAAATGCATAGCCAAGCATTGTAATAAAACACAATCTTGGATAATGTTTTATACAGGTATGGTAGATCAAAATCACTTTGGTTACTATTGGTAACTATGATATTTGAAACCTTACTTATGCCTGATATAAAAATACAGTCTAACTGAAATCATCAATAATGATCCAAGGATTGTATAAAACTTCATTATTACGGTAAGATAAATATAAATTAAACATTTGTTAAATTCAAATTCACTTTATTCAGTGGTATATAGGTTAAGAGTTGCAGATAAGAGATGGGTACCCTTCAATCTTATAGAAAAAAATTGGTGGTATCAATGTTTGGCTATGGGAAAGCCAAAATATGTTTCAGATCAAAAAGTAAAATAGGAAATCACAATGACACCATGTAACAAACATTCTATGAAAGTCTTATTAAATTTCAATCAGTAGTATAAGAGGAGTTGCGGATAAGAGATGGGTTCCCCAAATCGTAACGAACGGACAGACAGACGTTCAGACGGATGGACATCCATACCCTCCCCCTTTTCAAGCTTCAAGGGTATAATAAATGCTTAAGGTATAGCATGAAAAATGCTCATACATATCAAATGCTGACAGAATGATTTAGCATAAAATTTGGTGAAAGAGTGAAAGTGCATTCATGTTATCCTCCGCCAGACATATGTCTGAGGCAGAGAAATAATTTTCTAAAAACTGTTACTGTTTTTCAAAGGTGATGAGGGTAGTAATATATTGTAAATGCCCCTTTCCTCTTCTTATTTAACTAGAGTTCATGATTTTTAAAAAGAAGAGAACCAATTAAAAAAATTGGAAACATAAATAGAATTTTCTTTCCTAGCAATGAAACGGTAGCATTTACAGTTGCAAGTGTTTATGTTTGTCAAATCTGCATGAAACAAAATTTGAAGGACTTAATGCGGTTATGGCCAATATGTGCCTTCAAAATCAAACTTTGACTGAGAAATATATAATTATGTTTTAAACCAGGAGGATATCTGCAGACTTGAAAGCACAATATTTTCATAAGCCATGACGTCATATGTTTGATATGACGTCAGGAAAATGATGTAAGTTTAAAATTTCCTGTGATTTCTACAGAAAATTGTGTATATCTTGGTATATTAGGTCAATATTTCGAGCAAAAGTCACTGACTGCAGGTCTGCTCAAGCTCAATACTTTGATATAATGTGTAGAATGATAGTTAATACCAATATTTTATATAAATATTGTTATTGAACACACCTGCACTCTATAAATTTTATTGTAAAAATTGAGCAAATTTTGTATATTTTTTCCTCTTTCTGAAAATTAACACAAAATCCTAATAGTTTGTGACATCATAAAAACAGGACAATATCCTACTTTTAAACTTTAATATTTTTTGTTACTTAGATTTCTCATACAATATATATACAATTTAGCACTTTTCAAGAAATTTTCAAAATATGACTTTTCTAGGGGGAAAATATGTAATGTACTGCATATAGTTCTTTATAATAGATTCCTGTGTATTATTTAGTACATGCTTGGATATATTGTAGTACCATAGTCTAAGTCTGCAAAACATGGTGATTTCAACATAATTATGGTAATCAATACCAGTTCTATTTCTGGCTCATTTAATATGCCAAATCTTACATAGAAAACCATTTAAACTCTTAATAGCCACCTTAGTCTGTTTACACTGATTTTTCTGTTGATTAAAGACTGGAAATGAGACAAACTTCAGTACTATTTTGGTATTAATCTTGAACATGAATATGATGATGACATCTTGGTATTGATATATAGTTTATATAAGACAAAATCGGTCTACAAACATTGTTGTTCTTGGACTTCTTGATTTTTGACATGGTTTAATTGTTTTAACTGTCTAATACTTCAGCTAGAATTTAATGGAATTATATGAGGCCATCTGTTAAAAAAAAATGTTTGGTTGCCAACTCCTAACCAACTGTATAAAATGGCCCAACATCTGGGAAAAAGAAAGAACCTTGTGTTCAATACAAACACTGTGTATTGCATGATTTGAAGTAGAGTTTTTCAGAATCACTGTGACTGTGTGTGTTTATTGGAGAGAATAAACATGAAATCCTAAACCCAACTGTTCTTTTTCACACAGTGTTTTATAAATGACCCTAGCTGTAATATTAATTACATTTTGTAATATAGGTGTATTGGCTAGCAGTCAATTATTTAAGCTGTTGTCATTATGTCATGCACTGTATAATATTGATCATTTTGATAGCCAAAGTTCAAGTACAAAAAAAATTATAATTTGATATCGATATCTCCCGTTATTGTTTAAATGTTCCAATTTTTGCCACAATTTTGTTTGATGTTTTCTAAAGTAGCATTTAACTGGAACATTGGTGACTGGTCTAAAGCAGGGGGTAACAAACTGGGTCTTCATTTTATGTATTTACTTTGGCCAAAGTATACATGCTGTAAAAAGAGATTTGATGTAAGTTTTGGTAACGCTTGATTCCATTGTTTGAACATACATGTTATATTATTAGATTAAGAGGTTTGCAATGACATTTTAATATCACCACAAACAAAGGAAGTTTTTAATGGGAAACAGCAATGATTTATTATGTCATGAATGCAGAATTAAAAAAAAAAGTCACAAAATACTTGTTAAGTTAAATTGTAATCATAGTTGATTCAGAGTATAAAGAAGATTATAGTGTGGGATATTCCATTGTTTTGTTTGGAAATATTGACATACCGTAATGTGATGTTTAATTTTGTCATAAAACGAGACAAAGCAAAAAAGAACAGAAATAATAACAGCAAAATGCAAAATTATTTTCCTTCTGAAGTCATCTGAAAAAAAATGTCTTTTGGCACTGACTCTCCTAATCTACTGGCTAAAAACAGCCCAGTTAACTCAAAACTTTTTAAACCTCCACACCTACTTTTCCATACCTACTTTCATCATATCAAATCATATCAATAGAATTACATATTATTAAGTCTTTAAAATCTTCTCAAAAACCGAAAAAGCTAAGAGTTATGACTGTAAGCATCCAGGGGTAGTGTAGGTTCTAAATTGTTCAAATCATCATCGAGCCCAGCATGGGCATATGGTGGGGCCATAATGGAAAATCAAAGTTTTACACTGAAATATATATATACGTGTATATATAAAAAAAACTTTATAAAAAAAAAAATCTTCTTGAGATAGCTGGGTCAGAAAAGCTAAAACTTATGTCTTATCCAGGTATCCTTGATGATAGTGTAGATTCTAATTCCCTCCCCTTGGGTAGGGCAGGTCCACAATAGGTATTATAGGGGGGTGAAGAACAGCAGGGCCAATGTTACATAGGTGAGCATTGTGGCCCATGAGCCCCTCGTTTATAATGCATGTACATGTATATTTATACATGCACAGAAAGAGAGAGAGTAAGAGAGGATTCAAGTTTAATGATTAAGTTTTTACTTTTTAGCTCACCTCGACGAAGTCGAGATGAGCTTATGCTATACCCCCGGCGTTGGCGTCGGCGTCGGCGTCCCAGGTTAAAGTTTTAGGAGCAAGTTCATTCCTAAGTAACTATAAGCCCTACCTGAACCAAACATGCATGAATGATGCATCTAGGGATGTACACTACCAGACTTGCTTCGGATGCTGGATCTGACCTACATTTTCTAGATGAGTGACCAGGTTAAAG